ATATTTGTATTGAATTTCGCTCTTTAATTTATTCTGATACAGTAGTTTATTACAACTATTGGATCCAAATTTAAAAAAAAAAAATTTTTTAAAAATATTAGATGGATGTTGGAGCAAGTTGAAGCAGGTAATTTCATTCAGAATTTGAAGATGGATGTTTTTCAAGCGATCTTGTATATCATAAAGGGTTGGGGTAAGGTTTCGGCCGAAACTATACGTAACTGCTGGCATTATACAAAAATTTTTCTGTCTAGTGCAAATCTTTTAGGTGATCTTCATGAAGCTGGCGATTCAAGGCTTGAAAATCTTATTAAATCACTGAATACTCTCTGTCTTCCAAATGTAATAGAAACTGATAAATTCTTAAATTTTAATGGTGAGGAGATTGTTTACGAAGTTTTTCCAGAGGATCAAATCATTAAGGAGCTAGCTTATGTGTTTAGAAATGATGAAAGTGTTGAAGTTATGGATGAAGGAAATACTAAGGTAATGGATGAAGAGGAAAATGATAGTGTAGAACCTGCAGTTGTTAGTGGTAGTTCGGTATTGAATAGCTTGGAAAATGTTCGGATGTTTTTACTTCAGCAGGAAGGCTCGGGTGATCAATTAAAATTAATTAATTTTCTTGAGAAATTTATTAGGAAAATGATGTCAAGTTCTGCTTAGCAAACTCGCATAGATGAATATTTTAAGATATAAGGATTGAGTGGATTCTTTTTAATAAATTGGAGAAATAGGTAAAGAAAAATCTTCTCTATTTTCTACAACTTAATGTATGTGAAAAATTGATGATAATTATAAACAACTCAGCAGTGTCACAACAATATCGTGGGCCGGCGGGTTATTTATGAAAATTAAATAACATTTGGCATTTTTTTTATTAAATTTACATTTTTTCTTTTTTTTAAAAAAAAAAACATTTAAGGATTGTTTTTTTTAAAAAAAATTCTTTAAAATTTTTTTTCAATTTTAAGTATATAAAAAAATTTGATTTTATTACACTATACAGTATTAAAGAAATTATGCAATGGAATACATGAATTTATTCCATATTTTTCATGCAAGTCGTATAAATAATTTGTGTATTCAGCAGATAAATCATTTAGGGTCAGTCTCCGGGGTGTGCACTTAGGAAGGTCTAACTGTAAAGCGATGTCTGATGTAATTCAATTTTTAAACAGCGAAAAATCTAAAATCGCATTTATTTGCTGTGATTAATAGCAGATATATATGTAATCCAATTACGTAAAATTGCAATTAATTGACCAATTATGACTGCGCCATCAATCAATTAATTGAGTTCGAAATATTGCAATTAATTGCCCCAAAATCAATTATTCAGTAGGCCTGGCAAATAGTCTAATTTTGTCAAATTATTATTGTAGTGCTAAATAAAGTTGCATGTTTGCTATATGTAGTGATAATAAATCAAGTCGATGACTTTATCATTAATAAGTTGTTAATTATTAAACTAAGTCGATACGTAAAGAATAATATTTAAGAAATTTAATTAAAATACTAAATTAATTTGTTTACTCTTATCATTAGGGTGTTTATCAAACTATAAAATCAAATATTATTTAGAGTCACATATCTGATATAATAAATATATTTTATGACAGAGTGAAACCCGCGCTGTGAATTGCTTTATAGATCACATGAGGGTGAAATTTGCCTTTGCATAATAAAAAACAGCTAAAGGCGGATTTCGAATTAGTCAGAGCGGCCCCCAAAGTGCCAGTAACGTAAATTATTTTCACCAATCAGATAATACTATATATTTAACAATAAGCGATGATTTAATATATATAGTATTACTCGATTGTTGAAGTGGGGCTGCCCTGGCTAATTCGCAGATTTCACCCTAACATGATCTATGTAGCAGATTTTACTACAATTCAATCCTAATATTTTTTATGAAAATCTGAAATTAACTCTCGGTATAGTTTTCTTTCAAACTTGTATAATAATTACCAATTTAATTTTTTGTAAAAAATAAAGCAATTTGTATAATTTAATATAATATAAGCATTTTTTTGATTAATCTTTTTATAATTAGTAAATATTTATCTAAATTTGACAAACATAAAGCTGTTAAAATTTGTAAAACAGAGGTTATTGCCAAAAAAATATAATAAAAGTTATCAATTAAAAAAAATATAATATAAATAAGTTATATTTTTATATTATTATTGAAGACTTTAATACAGATCTCAACAAGAAGGCTTCAAGAAATTTAGGAGAAAGAAGGGACAAAAAGATACAAATCACTAATATACTAACAGAAGAAAATTTACTAAACATATTTCAGGAGACAAACTCAACAGATACTGGGTATATGTGGAAAAGTAGAGGAATAAAAACTATAATAGACACAATATAAATAGATAAAGAATAGAAGAAAGAAGTAATAAAGAAGGAAACAGAAGATATGGATTTTGTAACAATGAGCGATCATCGTCTAATCTGGTGCAGAATAATTACAGACCTTAATCTGCAGAGAAGAAGTGCAGCAAGAACAAGAAAACTAAACAAAACAAAAATCAACATAGATTTGAAAAAAGTGGACAAAAAAGATTGAGAAGAATACAAGACAAAATTAGACAAAGGAATCAACAAGAAACTAGAAGAAAAAGAAAAAAAAGATATGAAGAGACAAGAAAGACTGAGCTCAGAAGAAAAGAGTCAGCAAAAAATAGAAAAGCTAGAAGAAGAAAAACAAATAGAAGATTTATAGAACATCATAGAACTAAGTATCAGAAAGTCAACAAGTTCAACCCTCCTAAAGAAAACAAAAATACCTGAAATCAAAAGAAAAGATATACTATCAGAAGACCTAGCAAAACAGAGAAAAGATATTCGCAAGCTTGGAAACTGGTATAGCAAAATCAAGAAAAACAGAAGACTAGAAAAAGATAAAGTGACAATAGAAGAAGTACAAAATTTATTAAATAAAATACAAATAAAGTGAAAGCTAGAAAAGATAAAAGATGAAGAAGAAACATTAGAAAGCTAGAAGGAAAAACAAAAAGAAATCATATATAAAGAGACAGAAATTTGGTAAAAAATATTATACAATCGCAGTCATAAGTATCTTACCTCATGTAACTTGGCGCAGCAAACAGATAAGTAAAAATTTTTTTTTTATTTAAAAATATATGACCAGACATGATCCTCAATGCAATATATAATCACCATTATTAGCTATTACAGCTTCTACACGATCATTCATATCCACCACTAATTTTGCCACCAGACCGTCTGGCAATTAACTTTATTCTTTTACTATCAACCTTTTTAACCCCTTTATTGACCGAATTTTTTTTTTGCGAGCTTAATTTTTATGATTCCCTAGACATTTTCTATTGGATTCAGGTCTGGTGATATCAAAGGCCACAGAAGTACCTTAATACCACTTTCTTCCTTCCATTTTTTCGCAATTTTTGAACAGTATTTCAGATCGTTATCTTCTTGGAGCACCCATTCTACAGAACCCTCGCCAAAAATTTTATCAGTAGAAGACAGAAGACCTTTCTTATACACAGTAATCATATATTTTGTATTCAGGTTTCTCTGAAAGAAAAACAACTCACCAAACCCAGAAGCTAAAAAACAGTCCCATACATAGACCTTTGCGAGATGCTTCACAGACCGAAAGTCACTGCGCTTGCCAGAGAACTGCTACACTTTTTTTGGTCGATGCTTCAGATGGAACATACTTTCATCCAAAAAAACTACATTATTTCAGTCATGGTTCCTATGCTTTTTAGCCCATGCCAGCCTTTTTTCAATATGCTTATTGGTTAGCAGAGGCTTCGAAAATTGTGTAGTATATTTGCTACCCGATTCACACAGATGATGGCTAATTGTGGACTTACTGACTTCTACACGGTACTTCTTCATATCTTCACAAATTTGCATGGCAGTTATGTTATCATTTTTTTTTGCAAGCTCAATTATTCTTTGATCTTGCTTTTTGGTAGTGATTCTTTTGCGACCAGACTTTGGTTGATCGTTCAAGTCCTTGGTCACAGACCACCTATTAACCCAATATTGCGCTATTTTTTTATCATAGCCGATCTCTTTTGCAGATGCAGCAAGTCCAAGTTTTGGACCCTTATAGTGAGTATGCAAAAAAATGATCTCATATCGCTTATGTATAGGAAGAGACATTATTTGAACTTCCAAAATTCAGCGATCATCCAATTTCTGATATAGATTATCAATGGACCTAAAAAAAGTAAGTATGATCAGTATTTATATTGTACTACATGTTCGGAAAATTTTATGGTATTATACTTGGTTACCAGAAAATTAGCCAGGTGGGATACTTATGACTGTGATTGTACAAAGACTGAAAAGAAGAAGAGAAAAGGTAAACAAAAAAGGAGATTCAAAACTATATCAAAGCAAAATATGGAATGATCATCACAGATCAAAGAAAAATAATCAATAGTCTGCTCGAAAAACTATACTGAAGCATTAAAATAGACCAGATACTTAAAAAAAAAAATGAAAAAAAAGAATTTTAACAAAGAAAAAAGAAATATTAGAAGAAATAAAGGCACACTTCAAGAAGCAGTTTAGAGTAAGAAAAGTAAACCCTGAAGGGATAAGTAGAAAATGTAAAAAAAATATATAAACCCATCAAGAAGATTAATATAAAAAACTACAAAAACCTAGAGCAAAAGGTGATAAAAGAAGAATAGAAAGAAGCCCTAAGATTCACAAAGAATAAATCAGCATCAAGGCCTACAAATATAATATATTATCTACTTAAAAAAGTAGATAAAAGAGCAAAAAAGATATTTAGAATATTGGCTAGTAGCTGCCTGGCAAGTGGATACATACCAAAAAAGTGGAAATTAGATATGCTTTACTTAATACCAAAAAGAAAAGACTAGTGTTATAATTTGAACAATGTAAGACCAATCTTGCTTCTAGAAATATTTCGCAAAACAGTAATCAGAATTCTAAACAACAGGCTGAGCCAAGTTTTGCGAGAAAAGAAAATACTAGAGAGAAGAAATTTCGCAAGCCTACCAGAAGAAAGAATAGCGGTATCAATACATCTGATTAACTGCTTATTAGAAGATACAAGAAAATACAAAAAAGAAAATGGTTACTTTTTCAGAACATGAAAAAGGCTTTTGACTCAGTCAGTATAAAAATGCTGAATGTAGTACTAGAAAGGATCAAGTTGTCACAAGCTACAAAGAGTTTTATCTTATAGCTATACTACAAAAGAAAAATAGAGATAATAACGAGTTTTGGAACCACAGAAACATTCATTGCAAAAGATGGGATAGACCAAGAGGAGGTTATTTTACCTCTGGTATAGAGAATATTTTATGACCTATTATTAGTAGCAATACAAAAGAGGAAAAACACAGAACACTGAATGGTAATAAAATAGTCAAAAAATATTGTAAACAATATGATTTAACAATAAAACCTAAAAATAGAAGTAATAGTATACATAGTTAATACAACATATATAGCAAGCTCAAAAGAAAACTTGGAAAAAACAATCAAGACAAAATAATATACAACTCTCTCTAACAATCACTTGTACCAACTAGTCTCCAAAAGCAAGTTAAAGACTCAAGATTAGAAATGAACAAATAATTTGAAGGTTTCTTAATATGAACTATTGTCGACAAAGT